GGTGTTAATAGCTAGTTTTACTGGTAGTTTGGGAGAATGGGGTTAGTAGCTAGTTGTTTTACTGGTTTTTAGGCATTAAAGGTAGAGGAAGAGTGTTCAAATGACATCATAGCTAGAGATTGATATTACACTAAAATTTAACAGTTAATGTATAAGTAAAGAAGAGTAATTAATATACAAAAATGGTATTTACTTTTTTCATTGTAGTTCCTGTATGAATGGAGGAACTTGTATAGATGGAATCAATGCCTACACTTGTCATTGTAGTAATGGATATACAGGATCAAATTGCCAGTTCCACATTAACGAATGTGATTCTAGTCCCTGTAAGAATGGAGCAACCTGTGTCGACCACGTGGGATATTATACATGCCACTGTCCTTTTGGTTACACTGGGCTTCAGTGTGAGGTAAAAAACACCACTTTTCTTCTGAGATACTAATTAAGGTGGATTATGACTAGGTTTTTCAAAACTGATGTTGGAGATAAGTGGGTTTTAAGAATTTCATTGAGAGGCAAATTAAAGTTTTTACAGATAATGAATTGAACTGCTAAATATCCTAACCTGAATAAATTTTAACAATTATGTCAATTTCATTGGAATGATAAAATAGAGCATATATGTTTTCCTGAATAACTTTTATGTGTGTTTTATTCTTTTTCAGTACAAAATGATATGCAAGATAAAAGAAGGGTTGAGTAACTGATAAAAACTGTCTTTCTTTCAATTTAAACTTTACTTACTCCAAATCAAATTGTAACTTAATGTAATGTGTGCATATTAGTTGAGTAGTGGATATTATTAAAGGATAACTTGATATATATTTGTATTATTTCAATCCATAACTAGTTTTTAAAATTAATCCAATGTGTAGTGTTTTATAGAGGAGCTAATCTTCTATAAAGAGTTAGTTATTGTTCAAAGTTTGACACTAGAGGTCATTGTATACAGGGAATGATCGACTGGTGCAGCACTAAGCCTTGTATGAATGGAGCTATGTGTAAGCAGAATAAAAACATGTATCAGTGTGTTTGCCGGCCTGGATGGACAGGAGCGCTTTGTGACGTGTCGATGGTGTCTTGTTCCGATGCTGCTCTGCAGAAAGGTATACTACTTCTTGTTTTACTGAAGGAAGAACTTTATGATATCAACATAGATATTGTTTGTTGTTGTTTTTTGAAATTTTCATGTCAAATTTTGTGTAAACTATAAATGTTTTTGTTGATTTTTATTTTATTTTCAAAGAAAGTTTTTGAATAAAGGGGACTGCTGAAAGGAGTCATGGTCTCTTATAGGTAGGGTATTATCATGGTTATAATATTTATGGGCAAAGCTTTTAAACGTGTTTATTACAAAAACAGTTCCATAGTGTGAACCAAGAAGTTAGATATAATATGTATTCAACTTTTTAATGGGCTTGCTTTATATTTCCTGTAAAGATTTTTAGCTGTACTGTGACAGTGAAGAGAAGAATAGTTGGATTTGGACTTCTGTTGCATAAAACTGTGTGTTTAGAGCATTAATTGTGTTATGGTGATATAGTTAGTACTTTGTAATAGCTGTAGAATTTGTTTACTTGCTTTTTGGGATAATATGCTGGAGCTAGATTGTTTATAAAAACCTCTTGTTCTGGTAGTACTACGTAAAGCAAAAAAGGTCAAGAGATGTTGAAATAATTAAAAGTATTTTTTCTATATTCTTCATTGATTGAAGTTCATGTTATTGTTTTTTACACTTCATAATTATGAGAATGTAAAGAAAGAACAGAACATGAACTTTGATCTTTTAATGACATGATGTCATATCAAGTTGATTTAAAACAGGCCAAAAGCAAGAGATGTTGAATTTAAGTTGTTTTTTTTACTTATTCTTTACAAATGAGTGATGGCAAATCCCTTGAGATCCCCCCCCCTCTTCAGTTAGAGCAATTAAGTCAAAAGATAAGGATTATAAAATCAGTTGGAAAGTTGTTTTATTATTCACCACTTAAAGAAAAATATATTTTCTTTAGGTATTGAGGTGAAGGATTTGTGTAAAAACAATGGCAAATGTGAAAACATTGGAAACAGCCATCGTTGCGGCTGTCGTAAAGGATATGAAGGGAGTTACTGTCAACATGAAATCGATGAATGTGCTTCTCAACCATGCCAGAATGGTGCCACTTGCCATGACATGATTGGACAATACAGATGTGACTGTCTTCCTGGTTTCCAAGGTAAGAGCTTTTAAATGTCATATGAAGGTCAAGAGAGTGAATTCTGTGTGTTTTTTTTATACATTTTGCAAAGCATGGATGTTAAACTCTCAAATAATTTCAAAGCTTAAATTCTTGGGTTTTGTAGCTGAAAACACTTGAGATTGTTTTATTAAAGAAGTTTTTGAGTTCAAGTGATTATAGTAGTTGATTTCTCTCTATCTTTCATGTGTTGTTGTTGTTCTGTAATCTTTTACTTGTAAGCATTCAGTTTGTATTGACAGATAGTGCTTTTCTTAAAACACAAGTTTGCTTTCTTTGACTTGAATGTCCTTTATTAATAAGTAGTAACTTTTTTTTTTATTAAATTCAGGTTCTACAATACAAATGGCTTATTCATGTGTATCTTATTTGCAGGCTTGAACTGTGAATTCAATGTAGATGATTGTGATCCTAATCCTTGTCGGAATGGAGGGACCTGCCATGACCTCGTCAATAAATTTGTGTGCTCTTGCCCCCATGGTACCATGGGTATCCTGTGTGAGATTGATGTAAATGAGTGCTTTGAGGGAGCTTGTCACCATGGAGGATCTTGTGTTGATAAAGTTGGAGGCTATGAATGTCGGTGTCCACCAGGATTCGTTGGACCTAGGTACAAGCTTTGTTTCTATAATACAGGAAGTAGAACAACCCTCTCTCTTGTGATTTCAAATTCAAGAGAACTTTAAATGTCTCTCAACTGTAAACATGTCATACTTTCTAGCTGTAACATTTTCATTTCTGTCACTAGGCTGATATCATTGTTTTTTTAATGAGATGAATCATTTAAATAATTTGTTATAAATATTTGAACAAATAACAGTTAAATTTTCCTACTTTCACTTTAGTTTTAATGCTCTAGTTCTGCAAGCTCTTTGCCTCATTTGACTAAATGATGAATTATATTCTCATAGTAGACTTTTTTTAAACTCAAAGGTCAGGATGTAGTTATACTTTTAATTTTAGTAAATCTAGGGATAACAGTAAAATGTTCATTGGTTTTACTTAGAAAATTTTCACATTTTTATAATGAATTTGAAGATGAACAATTTAGTTTGCTTTGTTGTATGTACATTGAAAAATGAAAGTTCTATTTGATTTCAAAACTTTGATAATTATAGGTTACAGAAGAAACAACTATGTTACAAAACTTGGTGTAGTATTTAAAGGCAGGATACACAGTAATCAAAATACATTCCAAGGGCTAGCTAAACATATTCAAAGTATGTACCAAAGACCAGCTACATAGAACTCAGTATACATTTTAAGGCTAGCTATGATGTTTTAAAATTTATTCTGAGATAGTTGTAGTTGTAAATGTCAGCTCAAAAGTAACTTTATTTTTTATGTCATAATACTTAATAGTTGATTAAACATATGATTTCCAGGTGTGAAGGTGATGTGAATGAATGCCTCTCAAACCCCTGCAGTAATCCTGGTGCTCAGGATTGTGTGCAGTTAATCAATGACTATCGTTGTGAGTGCAAGCCTGGTTTTATGGGTCAACACTGTGAGACCAAAGTGGACTTTTGCTCATCTAATCCATGCTTAAATGGAGGGATGTGTAGTAGTGGTGACAAGGGACCTGTTTGTATTTGTCCTATTGTGAGTATTATAGTCGAAATAAGTTTGTTTGTTTTTTAATCCTAATGTGATCATCCAAATGCTTTTGAGTGAAGTTTGAAAAATATTTTCTGGAATGCTAGCTGTTTATAAAAAGACTAAACTGTTCAGTATTAAATAAAAACAAAAATCTGACTGTTTCATAGTTTAAGGTCTTGCTTTTTCTTTACCACATAAAATGTTTTTTAAGTTCCAGAAATAATACCATCATTCTACTTTATGTCAAAAATTATGTGAAAGCATAAACATGATCTCATAAAATAACCCTCCAATATTTCGAGAACAAAATAACTTAGAGATAATTGAAGCATAAAAAAAACTGCAGAAAATTTAACTATAAAGTAACCTGCAAATATAATTCAAGTGTAAAAAATCTGCAGATATAATTCAAATATAAAAAATCTGCAGATATAATTCAAGTGTAAAAAATCTGCAGATATAATTCAAGTGTAAAACATCTGCAGATATAATTCAAATATAAAAAATCTGCAGATATAATTCAAGTGTAAAACATCTGCAGATATATTTCAAGTATGAAAAAAACCTGAAGATAATTCATGTGTAAGAACCTGCAGATATGATTCAAGTGTAAAATAACTATTGAGTAATTTAGATGTAAATGAAACAAATACTAGAATAATGATTAAACATATTACTATAATAGATAGGCCTTAAGTTTGAAGACAGTAATTTATTTTGAAAATTTGTTTGTGGTCCTGGATTGTTTAAAGTTATTAATTTTTTAATTGTAGAGTTTTAAGCAACATCTATATCTTCTTAATATTAGGAATTTTGGGGAGATAACTGCAGCAATACTAACACCACATGTGCCAGCAATCCTTGTAAGAATGGAGGACAGTGCCGACCCCATCGTGGTGGATACACCTGTATTTGTCCACAGGGAACCAGTGGCAAACACTGTGATGTTGACATCTATGATGAGTGTTTGTCCTCACCGTGCTTTAATGAAGGAGAGTGTATTGACAGTATTGGTAGGTTGTGGTTCAGAAATGGTTGATACTTTACAATGTCTATAGTTAATCAGTATTGCAGATTACTCTTAGACTGTAGCTAAAGTATGATTATGTAGCAGCACCACAACTTGTTCTATAAAATACATTAAACAAATATACTGAATAGTTCAAGAAAATGTGCCCAGCTGTGTGTGTGTGTGTGTTGTTTGAACAAGGAAATCTTTTGTTAATAACCCAATAACTCTTGGTCATATTTTAACATTGGATGATATTGAACGTAAGATAATTCTATATACATTTTAAGCCCAGAGCTTGTACTGCATCAAAGTGTGTTATAACATTTGTTTCTGAGAGTCAGAAAAAAAAGTAATAAATGTATATAAAAATTCCATTATTAAAACTTGTGATTTAGTCGTAACCTATTGAGATTATAGCTGAAAAAAGAATATATTCCCAAATCCACACATAAGTACAAATATGTGGATGTTTCATTTTTGACAGAAGTCTGTGTGCCAGACTTAATTGCTACCGTCTATAGAAGTTTGTTTGTTGTGATATAGTTTATGAATTTTGTGGTTTGTTTGTTATTTTATATCAGCATTATTTGCAACTCTCTGTAGGGTTCTGTGTGTTATGATGATGTCTATGAACTCTGTGATCCATTTTATAAACAAACATTAAGATGGCTTTAAAAGCCATCTTCACACAGAGATAAAGCTTTCAAGATCTAATATTTATCAAAGCACATACAAATTTTAACAGTCAACTGTCCTTTGTTAGATAAACCTGTACAACTTTTGACAGTAAACATTCCTTTTTTCAAGAAAAGTTATACAATCTTTAACAGTAAACATTTCTTTGTCAGCTAAATGTATACAACCTTTAACAGTAAACATTTCTTTGTCAGCTAAATTTGTACAACTTTTAACAGTAAACATTTCATTGTCATGTAAATTTGTACAACTTTTAACAGTAGACATTTCTTTGTGAGGTAAATTTGTATAACTTTTAACAGTAAACAGTCCTTTATCAGCTAAATGTGTACAACTTTTAACAGAAAACGTTCCTTTGTCAGGTAAATTTGAATGTGAATGTCCTACAAACTGGAACGGACTTCGATGTGAAAGTTTTGATCCCAGCTTCCGTGGTGGAATTGGAAGAGTGGTGACTTCTGGAACCTTCCAGAAGTCTCTAGAGGAAGAGAAAAAACTCTGTACCTTTAATAAGTGCAGGTCTAAAGCTGGAGACCACCGTTGTGATGAGGAATGTAATAGTTTGGCATGTAATTTTGATGGAGGAGACTGTTCTTTAGGTAAGATTTTGAGATATTGCAATAAGAAATAATAGACTCCCATATAGTTCTGTTGAAATGAATTTCAAAAAGTAATTTTTAAATATTTATTACAAGATTTATAGTCATAATGGTTCAGGAAGTCTATCAGAGATACTATTTATAGTAGTAACAGCTTTCAAACTAACTTTGTTTGTTTACTGTCTTTTTCTCATGTAAAGAACCAGTAATAGACAAAAATCTTTCAAAATTGCAAACCAAATCAAACAATAATAAGAAGAAAAGTAAATTTTTGACCTTAACCATCCTTTGAAGTTTAGTAATTGTGTATTTTTGTGTACCAGGAAACAAAGTTCGTTTGCAACATAAGTTTACACGTTGATGAGATGTAATTAAAAATCTTAATAATAAGGTTAATAAAAAAACATGGAGTCATTCAGAGAGGAAGATTTCTTTTGTAGGACTCAATCCTTGGGAGAATTGTACTGCAGCCATCAACTGTTGGGATGTGTTTCGTAATGAGGAGTGTAACATAGAATGTAATAATATTGAATGTCTGTTTGATGGATTTGACTGCACCAAAAAACTTTCACCATGCAAGTAAGTGGATTTTCACCAAGTACTAATGGTTTCAAGTATCAATTATATAAGTGTAAGTATTTAGCTTACAGAAAATGTTACAGAAATTGGTGTTTTAAGACCATGAATAATTTCCTATAATGTAAATTTGGTGGTGACGGCAAAAGATTTATGTGGAGAAAACAAGGAGCAGGTAAGTCTTCAATGGAATGAACATTATTTGTTTGTTATTCTCTCTTAAATTATGTTATTCACGATAAAATTATATTTGATTCAAATAATAAGAAATTCTCTTCAGATTCAGTTGTAAGTTTAGATTAATCCAGTTTTGAACACTTCCAGTGAAATGTATGACAGCTACTGCCAGATGAATTATGCTAATGCAAGGTGTGACCACGGGTGTAATAATGAGGAATGTAACTGGGATGGTCTAGATTGTGAGGAAGACCTCCCACGGTTAGCAAATGGTCAACTGGTTTTAACTCTTTTGATTGATCCAATGGTAAGTAGGTAAACCTAATTTTTACATTTTTGTCTTATTAAAATGTTATATCAGTGTAAAAAATTGTTATGATGTTTTTTATGTGGTTTAACCGTTATGGGTCGTATATGTGTTATACTTTCCGAGATTGTCATCTTTATACCTGTTTCTTGCACATACTTATTTTATAGCTTTAGTATGC